AACGAGGCCCGTGCAGTGACCCTGCAGTCCCATCCTGTGGGAATGCAGCTCTTGGTTCTTAAATTCCTAAATCCCCACCAGAACATCCATTCTGATGGAGTTCAGGCCACACAGCCTTGAAGGAAATGGTTCTGTAGTTGTGTGTCACAGTGATGCCCCAGGGAAAGCTCCTCCCTGCCCGGGGGGATCTGACTCCTCTGTCAGGGGCCCTTCTTTGGGGGCTCACTGGTATTAGTTCTCATTTCTACAGCTCCATAAATCTGTGGGGTGCTTTGGAATGAGCACAGAACATTCTCCCTGCCTTGATGACACCCCTGCCCTCACTCCAACCAAACCTGTGGCATACTGTGGATGAATAACTGGAATATGGGGAAGGAAGAAGGAGGTGCCAGCAGGGCTGGTGCAGCCTCAGTCCCCACTGCCTGCTCAGGGATGGAACTCCAGGAATTCACTCTGTGCAAACTGGGAAGTGACAGGGAGACATGATAGGAGGATAAAGTTGTGTATCCCTGGAGAATCCACATCCACACATCTCCATGGCCAGGAGAGACTTTCAAAAGGCAGTTTGGTGAGAGATGGAAGGAAGGAACGGTGTGTGTCCCTCTCCCTTCCAGCTGTGCTGCTTGCTGAGGGGCTGATCTCTGTATTTCCCATGTGGAATCTCTGCCCCAAGTGCCACAGGGACTCCAGGCAGTGCCACGACCTCCATGTGCTGTTCCAAGTTGGAAGCCCCCAGGCAGAAGCCCAGCTGGAAGTGCAGCCCAGCTCGGAGTGTCTGCAGCAGCCTCTGTGCTCTGAGCTCTGCAGGAGTTTCATCCAGAGGTTTTTTTCCATGGAAACATGTTTTCCTCCACGTGCTTCAGCATTTGGGAGCATTTTACTCCCCAGCTCTAGTTAGGAAAGATCCCTGAGGGCCATCTGTGCATCTCCCGTGGCACGAATTCCTGTCCTTCCGGTGACTTATTCCTGTGAAAGGAGCACATTCCTGAGGCAAAAACAGGGACCAGACTCCTCAATCACCTGATGAAGGTGGTGCATTCCCAGCACTGCAGTCCCAGAGCAGAATTTGGGAGTTTGCACAGAGTTTGCTGTGGCACAAACCTTTTTTCCAGGGATTTGGCAGTTGGTTGCCCTCCCTCACCTCGGAGCAGGGACTCCTTGCCAAGTATGTGTTTCCCAGTGATGCTTTTCCAGCCCTGTCCCCTGCAAACACAGCCATTCCCTGCTTTGCTTGGCCTCAGAGGTGCTGGGGCTGGAGGAGGCTGAGCTGGAGCTGCAGGCACAGGGGGATGGATGTTTGCAGGCACAGGGAAGGAGCCTGTGCCAAACCAGCCCTGGCAAACCCCACACAGCTCTTGGTGAAGCTCTTGCTCCCTGATCTGAGTCAGCCAGGCATGAAGAAGGATGGGGGGGGCTGGGAAGGGACCTGGTTGATGTTGGTATTTTAACCACAGACAGGATGGAGCTGTGACAGATCCACCGATGCCATTGGCACTGCCCAACACCCAACACCTTTCCTGCCCGCTCCAGAGTGGCTCCTCAGGCAGTTTTTAATCCTTTTTTCCTGACCTTTCACATCACAGTTTGGTTTTGTAAGGAAAAGCAGGCTGGAAGCAGCACAGTCCTCTCATGGTTCTTTGCTAAGCACAGGAGAGATCATGGAATGGGTTGGGTTGGAAGGGACCTTAAAGAGCATCTCATTCCATGGGCAGGGACACCTTCCATGGGACCAGGCTGCTCCAAGTCCCATCCAACCTGGCCCTGGACACTCCCAGGGATGGGAGGTTTTCTTGCCCATCACCACTTTGGGAATTTTGCTTGGTTTTTGAATGTATTTCCCAGACGGAGGGACCTCAAGTTGTCGGTATCCGTGACATTCCCTGCTCCCTCTCTGTCATCCTGGCTGGTTTGGGTTGGAAGGGCCCTCACAGACCACCTGGTTCCACCCCCTGCCATGGTTAGGGACACCTTCCACTCCCCCAGGTTGCTCCAAGCCCTGTCCAACATCCGTGCAACCATTTTCATTCCAGGAATTTGGACCCCTTTGCTGAAAATGCAGCAACAGCAGAACTTTCCTGCCAAAACCCAGAGTCCAACTGCAGCGTGGGGAGCCTGGAATCCTCCACACCAGCAGCTTGCAGGGCCAGAGGAGCACAGTGGATGTGATGGGACAGTCCTTTGACAGTCCCCAGTGCTGGGGGTTTGGCAAACTGCTTTCAGGAGGTGCTGGTGTGGCAAAGGGAGCGACTTCAGTGTGTCACAGCAGGCAGTTGTGTCCTGTTCCTACCCTCCCATTTGAGTCAAATTTAGCCTTTTACTTACTTTTCATATTCATTTTGGGGCCTGCTACTTCCTGGCCTGCAAGGGCAAGGATTTGAGCTGCTCTGGATGAGGTGCTGGGGGAGAGCTAAGCCCGGGATCTGCTGGTTGGCTCACAATATTTTTCCCTTTAACAGGGGTTGTTTCCCCTGTGTCTGAGTCTCAAGGGTGTCCCATGGCCTGTAGGGCTGCAAAGGTCTCTCATGATTCGTGTGGACACTTCTTACTTATGGCAAGATGAAAACTGGAGGCCCTTCTCACAACCACCACTGCAAGAAAGCGGCAGCAAAAGCAAAGACACGTATTTTAATCCAATCTGGATTGGATTTTGTGATAACAGCAAATTTCATCCCAGAGAACTGAATTTCTGTTGATTTTCGAGTTTAGAGCACAAAAAGCCTTGTGTTCTTCCTGAACAGGCAACGTTTCCCTGGCATCCATTGGAAGTGCAGGGTCACCACTTTTGTTAATGGGATCAGGACCAACCCGAGCCCGGAGCGGGCGGCAGGGACGGGGAGTTTTTCCAGGAGTTATCCCAGCTTGGCAGGATGTGCCCAAACAGGGGAGTGTTCCGTGCCCTCGGCTATGAGAGTGTCCTGGAGTGACTGGCAGCTGCTTTTGGCACAGACAGTTGTGCCACGGGGTTGAGTGACCCCCCCTGGCAGCAGGAGAGGTGGAGGGGGCTGAGGAGGATGTGATGGACACGGGGAGGCTCTGGGCAGCCCCTGCTCCAAGGCTTTTCTCGGGAGGTGGCTGGAAAAATGCACTTCAGAGAGTCATGGAATCCAAGAATGGTTTGGGATGGAAGGGACCTTGAAGATCACCCAGTTCCACTCCCACTGTGGACACCTTCTACTAGCCCAGGTTGCTCCAAGCCCCGTCCAACCTGGCCTTGGACACTTCCAGGGATCCAGGGGCAGCCAAAGCTTCTCTGGGCAACCTGTGCCAGGGCCTCCCCACCCTCACAGGGAACAATTTCTTCCTCATATTCAATCTAAACCTCCCCTCCTCCAGCTCAAGGCCATTCCCCCTTGTCCTGTCACTCCATGCCCTGGTGAAAAGTCCCTTCCCATAAGCCCCCTTCAGGTACTTCCCACCTTGGTGGATGGAAACGTGGAAGGATGATGAGCTGCCTGGAGAGGAAGGAAGGGATGGCATGTGTCACACTGTCCTTTTGTGTCCTCTGTTGTCATCCTCTTCCCCTTTGGCCTTTTGATCTTGCTCAAAACTTCCTTTGGGACTGAAGGAAGCAGAGACCATCCAGCTGGATGTTGACCTCACTGGAGCTGGGCACATGGCAACCAACAGTGAGCTCCTGCTTCATGTCCTCAAGAGCTTTGGGCAGGGCAGGCAGCTTCCAGGTGGTGATTTACCCCCTGGATTTTGGATGCTGGCAGAATGCAGTGCTTTGCTACGTTTCATGATCCAGTTGGCTCCGTGTGTTCCCAACACCTCCCATCTGAACACCTCCTGGTAGTGCCTTGAGCAATTCAACTGCTTTGTGTGCTTTGTTTTCTCCTCTGGTTCCCTGGGAGAAGGGAAAGCAGGAGAGCTGGAGAGGGGAGAAGGTCGTTGGCTTGTTTTCAGTTTATTTGTTCAAAGTATCTACACAGGGTTGTGCTCATGTCGGAAAAATCACACCCAGGAAACGTCCCTCACACTTGGAACAGGCCTTCCTGGAGAGGCTCTTTCCCTGGATGCTGCTCTGCTGCACAGACAGGCTGTCAGGGACCTGCAGAGCCACAGAACAACACTGTCCACACTGCCCTCACAGTGGGCTCTGTGTGCCCTGCACAGCCCAGGGCACTGCCAGGAAACACCTCCAAAGGAAGGGGCAAGACCTTGTCCTAATTTGTTGTCTTAATCTGCAGGGAAGGGGCAGAGGATGGAGCAGGGGACCAGCAATGGGATAAGAAGAATGGGCAGGAACTGATGCCCAGGAAGTTCCACCTGGACAGGAGGAAGAACTTCTTTGCTCTGTGGGTGACTGAGCACTGAACAGGTTTCCCAGAGAGGGTGTGGAGTCTCCTTACAGGAGAAATTCCAGAACCATCTGGATGCAATCCATGTGCTTTGGGATGACCCTGCTGGAGCAGGGAGGTGGGACCAGGTGACCTCACAGGTGGCCCCTTCCAACCTGACCTGTTGCGTGACCTGTGATCCTGTGGGTTGCTGTAAAACCCCAGAGGTTGGTCCTGGCTCCTCCTGTTCCTGAGGGACTGTGGTTGAGGAGCTGAGATGTGGCTGCAGCTCTTCCCAGCTCCTCTCTGCCAGCAAACCTCGGCTTGGCTCAGCCTGGGCCAGATGCTGCCCTTGGCCAGGCCTGGCCCACGCTGACAGCAGTTGTGTGGGGAGGCAGGAAGCTCCTGCAGACCATCCCCTGTGCCCAGCTGGAGCTGCTCTGGGGCTGGAGCAGGTCTGGAGGGAGGACAGCCCTCTGTGGGGGAAGTGCAGGTTCCTGTGGTGCTCCGGGCGTATCCACCAGGAAGGTCTCCAAGCTTTTCACACACCCTCTGGATCGGTGCCACCTTGCAGGAAGGCAGCAGTGCTGCACACTGTGTCAGGAGCAGCCACATGCTGCTTTCATCAGCTTTATTTTTAGGCTCTGTCTCCTCACACATCTGTTCCTCTGCGGGCTGGGCACCATCAGCCAGGAGCCAGTGGCCAGAGATGGAGGAGAGAGATCTCTGCTCATCACACCGAGGGGCCCGGGAGACAAACTCTTTGGGAAGTAATTGTTCCCAGGTTTGTTGCTGAGCCTTTGGTGTTACGGGAAGCAGGACCTCTCTGAAGTCTGGCCATCCTTCACACATTCCCATCTTCCTGCTGTGTCCCAGGAGGGGTTTGCTGAAAGCAGCCAGCTGGGCTGGTTGTCCATAAACAAGATCTCACTGCTCCTGAGCCATCCTGGCCTTTGTACAGACAGCAAGGCCAGCAGGGCCCCTCCATAAAGCTTATCCCACACAGCAGAGCTCTTGACATGGACCCTTTGGAGCAACCTGCTCTAGGGGAAGGTGTCCCTGCCCATGGGAGGGGGTTGGAATGAGATGGGCTTTAAGGTCCCTTCCAACCGAAACCATTCCATGATTTCTATCATTCCAGAGACTGGCCCATGAGGCTCCTCAGAGTCACCTTCTGCTGTAGTGGTGCAGACACAGTGAGTAAATAGCCAGAATTACCCTTTCAGCCCTTTGGATCTTCCTCTGTGATATTCCCCAATCCATCACATCCTCCACACTCACAGTCAGCCCTTTTCATTCACATTCAGATTCACTTCTTCCTCCACAGCCTCCACTCTCCACTGCTCAGAGCTGGGTCTGCAGAGAAAGGACCTCTCAGAGGTGACTCTGAAAAGTCAGCAGCTCCTGGGATTTATATTCATCCCATGTCTGGAAGATCAGGCTGTAGAAGACTTCTCCATGGGCCCTTGAGGAGCTGCTTGGGAAGCTGAACCCTCAGCACCTCACGTCACTTTAATCCTCCTTTTCAGCTCCCAGTGGATCTGATTAGGCTGACAAAGAACTGAGAGCTGCCAAAGCACTTCCTAGAAGCAGAGACGGGGCAAAATGAGGCTGAAGAGGGAGGAGAGAACAGTGTTTCTTTGTAGGGGTTTCCAAAATACCCTCCCCTGATAAGCACAAGTGGCTTGTTGCAGAGAAATAGGCAGAAGGCCCAGCAGTTACCCGCTGACACATCCTTAACTTTAATTCCAGAACATCAGCAAAATTGTTACAACCCAAATAATTTCCTTGAGACCGGACTGAGTGAGCTCTGGTGGCACCGTGAGGTGAAAGACCTGAGGAAAACTAGATGGTCCACTGGGGAGTGGACTTTAAAAAAAGGGTCTTTGTGTCACAATAAAATGTCCAGAAGCTGTGTGACCAAATGGATACAGTCATGGAACGTGACCCCCTCTGCTCCAAGTCTTCCTGTGTTTGCAGCAACCCCTGTACCAGCCATGGAGTCGGTGCGCTCCCTGTTTGAGCTGCAGATAATTAATGATCCTTGCAGGTTGTAGTGGCCCCACAGCACAGAAATGTCATTTGTTGGGCATGTAGCAGCTTTGTGCAGTACCAGGGAGGCCAGGATGTTTCCAGGATTTCATCCAACGCAGCATCTTTCATTTTTGCTCTCAGCTGTAGACGCTTCTCTCCAGGAATGGAACATAACCAGGGGCTGGAGGCTCAGGTGTTAATTCAGGCCCGGGGGAGGCAGATGAAACACCCTGTAAATGAAGAGCAGCACGACAGGATGGATGCAGTGAGTGCCTGTCTCATCCCAGCCTCTCTCCCTGGGCTGGTATTTTGCTGGGAAGGGTTATTGTTAGAGCTCACTGTGTAAATTCTCCGTTTAAATATCCCCTGACTCACACTGCAAATGCTACTCAGGAGTCGGTGCAGTGTCAGGATAAAGTACAGCTTGTGCCTCCTCCCCAGAGAAATCACTGCAGGATCTGCCTGACCTTTCCAGGAGTGTTCCAGGCCACGTTGGATGCAGCTCTGAGCAACCTGGGCTGGTGGAAGGCCTTCCTGCCCACAGCATGAGCTTCAAGGTCCCTCCCAACTCAAACCATTCCATGGGTCTGGGATTCTCTGAAGGTGGCTCAGGCTCATCTACCTGTTATCCTCAAAGTTAGACTTCCAGGTAAACCTGCTTTTTGGGGCTCCTTTATCTGGAGATAGGCAGCTCCAGCAGGTGGTCCTGCCCTTCCCCAGAGGGGTCCTGGGGCCAGTCCCTCCCCAGTAAGTGCAGGAGGAGGTTACAGCTCTCTTTAACAGCTGGACTAGGTGAGATTGTTGCCACAAGGGCTGTACAGCACTCACTGCTTCCCATTCCCTCTCTTTGTCTCTTTGTGGTCACTAGGATCTATTATTTGTCTTAAATATCTCCTGATGTCTGAGCAGGGATTTCAGCCTGTGGTAAGGATGGGAACCAAAATCCTGCCAGCTCCACGTGGAACATTGTCAGGATGGGGTTCGTGCTCTATTGTTGCTACTGCCAAAACGAAATTCAATTAATCCAGTGGGTGAAAAGCCAGGGAGAAAGCCCTTCCTGGCACTGTGGGGATCTTGTGTGGCCCCTCTGGCTGAGCCAGCAGCAAGATGAAGCTGGGAAGGTCTCTGCTTCCCAAAGGACTCTCAGTCCTTGCTCCCCAGCTTGCCCTGGTCACTCAAGGCTGGTGCCTTTCCCGGGATTGTGCTGAGCCAGCCCAGCTCTCATCGTGTAGTAGAAGATGCCCCACAAACATGTGGGTGTCTGGTTTTCACATCTTTGGGTTCCAGACCCTAAGGAGCTCTTCCTCCTGCTCCTCCTCCTCCTCCTCCTCCTCCCCACAGCTGAGTTACCACCCCACCAAAGGCCATGTCTTGCTCTCTCTGCTCTGGGTTTTCCGGGCAAAACTGTGGCATCTCTGTGCTGCTGCTTGGCCTGGACCAGAGTGATGAGGAGCATCAAGAGAGGAGGGAATGGAAGTGATGGGTTTGATCCTGGGACTTGGATTCCCAGCAGGGAGCTCAGCTCTGAGCAACAGGAACTCAGAAGGATCCTTCCATGTGCCACAGCCTGGAAACAAGCAGGTGACCATCTGCTGACCCTCTACTTGTCCCCCCACAGTCTGGAGGTGACATGGGCCAGCTCTGCCATCCTTTTGGAACACCAACAGAGGTGGAATGTTCTCCACCCATCCCATACAGAGCCCTCTCCCAAGCTGTGCCAGCTCTTGGGCTCCACAGGAGGAGAAGGAGGAGGAGTAGGAAGAGGAGGAGGAGGTTGCAGGTGTTTCAGTGCCATTATCAGCCCTCAATCAGTTGTTTTCCATCTCCAACTCAGCTTTTATTCCTGTGTGCACTGTGTGGGCCTCCTTGCTTGCTCTGAGAAATCTTGTTTTAATTCGTCTCCCCGATGCTCCTGCCTCTCCCCCTTCTCACCCTTCAGTCTTGCTCTGCCCTCCTCAGGCCTGGCTCTGGCACAGAGACCCTTTGGAGGTGCTGATGGGGCTGGTGGGGCTGTGTCCTGGGCTGGCTGTGATTCCCAGGAGGTGACACACAGCCTGTTTGGCTGCTGAACTTCCCATGGGACTGCACATCCAGGTGTGAGACAACGGGGTGACTTGGATGTGGCTGGTGGCCACTGGAACAGGGAGTCCCTCACCCCCAACACCCAGGTGGAAGCTGTGAGGAGGGAGCCAGGCCTGCAGGTCTGGAAGGCATCAGTGCCCTGTCCCAGCAGGGCATCTGACTCAGGGAGGGAGAGCAAAGTGAGGCCTGGAGATGAACAAATGAGCCATCAGATGCTGGGGGAGCAACCCCTTGGGCCACATCCTCACTGGGACAAGGCTCTGGAGCCACATCTGGCTTGGCCAGCACAGGAGCAGGCACTGAGTTACACCTGAGCCACACTCCCAGGAGCTGGCACAGCTTGGGAGAGGGCTCTGTGTGGGATGGGTGGAGAACATTCCACCTCTGTTGGTGTTCCAAAAGGATGGCAGAGCTGGCCCATGTCACCTCCAGACTGTGGGGGGACAAGTAGAGGGTCAGCAGATGGTCACCTGCTTGTTTCCAGGCTGTGGCACATGGAAGGATCCTTTTGAGTTCCCGTTACTCAGAGCTGAGCTCTCTGCTGGGAATCCAAGTCCTGGGATCACAGCGAGATCAAGGACAGCCTGTCCCAGGCTTCCTTAGGGTTTGGAATGCAGAAGTTCCTCACCCAGCACTGGCTCATCCATCTGGGCAGCACCAAATCCTCATCCCTAAAGTGACCCTGCTCTTCCCGCCACCATCCAGGGCTCTGTGGCTGGGAATTCCCCTGCCATGGAAAAGCTTTGGAAAACTCTCGCAGAGCACAGGTTCCCACCTTGTCCTGGCGAGGCAAAGCCAAGGAAGTGTGGAGCCAAAGTGTGGAGCCGAAGTGTGGAGCCAAAATGTGGAGCCAAAGTGTGGAGCCAAAGTGCTCCTCCTTGGCAGGGATGCAGGAGAGCAGCTGGAAGGAGCTCTCCAGTGGGAGCTCAGCAGGATCCAGAGGCACAGCACCCACACATTCCCAGCAGATGTTCTGCTCAGGGATCAAAGAGCATGTGGAGCCCCACAGACACCCTGCAAACACTGGGAAGTGCCCTGGTTCCACCTCCTGCTCCTGCTGGGGCTCTGAAGATGAGCCCAGCCCGTTCAAAGGGGTCCCTGGAGGATCCACACCCCCCTGAGAGCTTTCCACAGTCAGTCTTCTGGACCCAGGCTCCTCCCAAGACTTCATTATTTGGGTGCCATTCCCTGGTTTGTGCCACCTGCTTCAGGCAGCAGCTGTTGGAGCAGGGATTGGAGCAGGGATTGGAGCAGGGATGGTGTGATGCAGCACCTGGGCTTTCCCCAGGGGATGTGGGGATAAAGCAGAACACCACATGTCCATAGAAACAGAGATTTGCTGAAAGAGAAGGGAGATACCTTTTAGCACCAAAGCTTTCCCGGCCTCTTAGAGCAACCAGATCGCTTCCCAGACCGTGTCCTTTCCCAAAAATCAGAGTGCTCCCTTCTGGGGAGCACCTTCAGGCACCGAGAGCTGGGAGAACCAAAGGTAACTGTGGGTTCCCAGCCTGGTGGCAGCACAGGGGGGTCCCAGAGCTCAGAGGGGTATTTGCAGCAGGGAGCTCAGTGTGGGCCTGCCTTGATGCCACAGGGATGCTCCTCTGGGAAAGGGGGGTAGATCCTTGGCATTCAGCCCCCATGGCCATGGGCTGCACAGCCTCTTATCCCAGCTATAGGAGCCACCCACTGCCTCTAATGATTCACATCACTCACTTGTGTCACTTAACCCCTTCCTACAGCATGTGCTCAAAGCTTCCATAATCTGCTCTTTAATCCTGCTTCCGAGGCCTCCCTTCCATCAGTGCTCCAGCTGGGAAGGGAACTGCTCCAGGAACACGAACTAGGGGGCATAGTGGGATTTTTGGGGTGTCTGTGCAGGGCCAGGGGTTGGACTCGATGATCCTTGTGGGTCCCTTCCATCTTAGGATATTCTATGATACTATAAACTGGGGTGTTTGGGCTGTGGAATGGGAACAAATGGATGGAAACTGGTTTCATATCCTGGAATTCCTCTCCCAACTTGCTCTGGCAAAGCACATTGGCACTGCTGTCTCTGCAGCTCCTCTTCCTCCCCTGGCTCTCTTTGGGGGTCTCACAGGCCACGTGCTGGTAAGTGGGATTCACCCACACCCATCCATGGAGCTCGAGCTTCCACGGAGAAAAGGAGGCTCAGGGGGGACCTTCTGGCTCTGCAACTCCCTAACAGGAGGGGGGAGCCAGCTGGGGGTTGGTCTCTTTTCCCAGGCAACTCTCAACAAGACAAGAGGGCTCAATCTTAAGCTGTGCCAGGGGAGGTTTAGGTTGGATATTAGGAAGAATTTCCTTCCAGAGAGGGTGATCAGGCATTGGAATGGGCTGCCCAGGGACGTGGTGGATTCTCCATCTCTGGAGGTTTTTAAGAAGAGACTGGATGTGGCATCAGTGCCATGGGCTGGGAACCACGGCAGGGTTGGATCAAGGGTTGGACTTGATGATCTCGGAGGTCCCTTCCAACCCAGCTGATTCTATGATTCTGTGATTCATTGGGGAGCTCCCTCACTCCTCCCTTCCCAGCCCTCCTTGACAGGTTCTCTCAACTGTCCTGGTCACACTTCCCAAACACAGGCAGCAAATCCCGGTTGCTCCACAGGGTTTGGGGCCCTAGGGATGATGTCTGGGGTTGGCAGTGACCACAGAGTGAGGAGCAGCAGCACAAGGCTCATGGGACATGGGGACATTGGTGTTGAGCCTTAATGGGTGTGTGACACCCATCCCACGCTCCAGCAGTGCCATCCTGGCAAACCAGGCCCTGGC